GAATTAATGGATGAATTAATGGATGAATGGATGAATTAATGGATGAACTAATGGATGATGTGTGGAGGTCATCAAACAGCAGAGCTCTCAGATTAACACATTCATCCTCTCATCATAAACTCACTAATAATTTTTTTATTTTCTCCAGATTTTTAAATAGAATATTTAAAGAACAAAAGTTTATTTATTTATTTAAGTAATATAATTTATTTATTTAAATAAAATAATTTATTTATTTTAATAATATAATTTATTTTAATAATATAATTTATTTAAATAATATAATTTATTTTGTTAAATAATATTATTTATTTATTTAAATAATGTAATTTATTTGTTTAAATAATATTTTTTTTTATAAAATAATTTATTTATTTTAATAATATAATTTATTTGTTTAAATAATATTATTTATTTATTTTAATACTATAATTTATTTTAATAATATAATTTATTTAAATAATATAATTTATTTGGTTAAATAATATAATTTATTTATTTAAATAAAATAATTTATTTATTTTAATAATATAATTTATTTAAATAATATAATTTATTTGGTTAAATAATATTATTTATTTATTTAAATAATGTAATTTATTTGTTTAAATAATATTTTTTTATAAAATAATTTATTTATTTTAATAATATAATTTATTTGTTTAAATAATATTATTTATTTATTTTAATACTATAATTTATTTTAATAATATAATTTATTTAAATAATATAATTTATTTGGTTAAATAATATAATTTATTTATTTAAATAATATAATTTATTTAAATAATATAATTTATTTATTTAAATAATATAATTTATTTATTTAAATAATGTAATTTATTTGGTTAAATAATATTATTTATTTATTTAAATAATATAATTTATTTGGTTAAATAATATAATTTATTTGTTTAAATAATATAATTAATTTTTCATGTTGCTACATCTTGTTTGACTCAGTCGTTCTTGGATCAGATCTCATTTCTGATGGATTTTTACATGTGAAACTCTGAACTAATATTAATAAAGACGTTTACGTCTCATGACATCAAAGGAATCCAGCAGTCACAATAATAATAATACTTATAACAATAATTATTGGCTGTAATGTGAAGAGAGTTATGTGTGAAATATTCAGTCTGTTGTTTTGTTCTTCAGATTTATGGAACATCTTTGAATTTGACATTGACCGGCGTTAACATCTTCAGCTTTCTGTTTTGTTTTTATTGTTTATTTGTTTATTTTAAAGTGAATGCAGCTGAAGTAAATTCACTCGTTCATTCATCCGGGTGCCGTGTGTGTGTCTGACCACCAGAGGGCGACGGAGGCTGGAACGAGCACGGCTGCAGCGTGTCCAAAGAGTCCAGCAGCAACAAGACGGTCTGTCTCTGTGACCACCTCACGCACTTTGGCGTCCTCATGGTGAGACCTGCTCCAGACACCTCTTTCTCCTGGTGAGACGTCTGGAGCTGCTGGAGGCTCAGCGTCGGTTTACACCGTTGTTTTATCCAGAACTTGTGAGAGGAAACGTTTGAAGCGCCTCAGGTTTTCTGTCAGCATCATCTTTTAGCTCAGGCCAGTGCTCCATGTGTGCCGCTGCTCTGATTTCTGCCCGTGGTAAACCTCCTGCTCCATTCTCGAGTATAGACAAATAAGTCATCATAGAAGTAAAACGTGCAGAAGTCTAAAGTTATTTATTGGATTTTACTTGTTTTAGCTGTTTTTAAACTCTTATCGCTCATCACTACAGATTCTCGTGCCTTAAAGGATGTTGGGTCGTCCTCCATGATAATGATTTAATCAGTTTACTGTTTACACACTTCCAAAATAAGACTGAACGAGAACATGAAGAGGATCCAGTTTAGGACACATCACGTTACTGGGTGGCACCGTTGGTCCAGTTTGATGACTATTGTTTGTATTTTTTTATTGATTTATGAAACTGTGTGTTGATCAGCAGTTACATCAGTTCATCATATTTAAACATCTTAAAGCTTCAGAGGAACGCTGTAGTTTTGTTTAAAGCTTTTCTTGAACTTTTTGGTTTCCCCCAAAAGAAGGCGGAGCTTCACACACAAGCTTCACTTAGACATCATCGTTTTTTGATCCAAACGTACATTTCATAAAACAGATTGTTTCATGAAAGTAACGATCTTCCTCTTTGTGCCATTGATCCGTCGACAAATGTTTAAATATTTTTTGTACGACAGAACTGATCAGAACATTCCCTCACACCTAGCCGAACCTCATCGGCTCCTTGTGTTGAACTTTTGGCCAATCGTGGTTTCTCGGGAGTCGTGCTTCAGCTGATCCCTGACTCACTCAGAAGCAGTGTAGAGTCTCAGCTTCCTGTTTTCACCCAGTGACCTCTGGGTAATGTAGTTCACAAGATTTGGGAGATGGGGCTGGAGATCTTCAGTGATTGGAGGAGGACTTGTTTATCCAGCTACAAAAAGAATCAGGAAAAGGAAACATTTTACTGAAACCTGAAATTCTTCAGAGTTGTTGAGCCTCACTTCAGAGGCACATCTTCTTACGCTTGCTCCATTTCCCTGATGTTCTCTTTGTTTTTCATGTGAAAGCTGACAAGATGAACGTTAATAAGTTTTATAAAGAGTTACGTCTGGCTGCAGGACGTTTCTCAGACGTCGTCTCGGATCGATCCGAAGAACAACCAGGTCCTGACCTTCCTCTCCTACATCGGCTGCGGCGTGTCGGCCATCTGCTGCGCCGCCACGCTGCTCACCTACATCGCCTTCGAGTGAGTCTGTGACCGCGCTCCGGTCACTTTGACATCCTTCAAACAGCCGAACCTAACCTGGACTCGTCCCTCCGGCAGGAACCTGCGGCGCGACTACCCGTCGAAGATCCTGATGAACCTGAGCGCGTCGCTGCTCTTCCTCAACATGGTGTTCCTGCTGGACGGCTGGTTGGCCAACCTGAACCGGAGCGAGGGGCTGTGCGTGTCGGCGGCCGTCCTCCTGCACTACTTCCTGCTCACCTCCTTCACCTGGATGGGCCTGGAGTCCGTGCACATGTACATCGCTCTGGTGAAAGTCTTCAACACCTACATACGCAGATACATCCTCAAGTTCTGCGCCGTGGGCTGGGGTGAGCCGAACAGCTGGAGAGTTGGACCCTGGTTCAGCTTCTTGTTTTATTCTTTGGGTTTTGATTCAAACGCTGACTCGAACTCAGCGCCCCAAGTTTTCATACAAAAGTTTAAAAAGTTTCACTCTTGAGAGCTGAACGACAGCTGAAATTCAGCTGTTAAACTAAAAACAGGAGAACGCTAGCTAAAAACTGAAAGTAGTAAAAAACGAGGTAAAAGGTTAATGTTGCAAAATGCTAGCTAAAGTCAGGTATAAGTTTGCTAATAGCAGCTAAAAGTTAAAGCAGCAAAAGTAGCTAAGAGTTAAGAGAGACTTAAGAGTTAAAGTAGCTAAAGGCTAACTAAAGGTTTAAGTAGTAAAACTTTAGCTAAAAGATAAAGCAGCAAAAGACGAGCTAAAAGTAAATTCTGTAACTGGCTATAAGGTAAAATGTTTGGGCTGCTGTTTAATTTACCGTATTATTTTACATCTATAGTGTTTAGCGTATATTTTCACTCTTTTAACGTATCCTTTACCTTTCGTTTAGCACGTGTATCTTAGATCCTGTTTCTTTTTCTACTTTATATTTTTGCTGTTTTTGATGTAACTAAGACCATGAGTACAGTAGTCCCTCATTTATCACGGGGGATCTGTACCCTGAAGACCCGCGATAAGTGAATAAATAAATAAATAAATAAAATTAAAAAAAATAAATAAATAATAAAAAAAAAAAATATATATATATATATATATATATATATAAATAAAGGTGTTTTAAACCCTTCCCACACATTTGCAAATTCTAAACAATGTTTCTAAACTCTAAAAGAGCCAGAATGTCATGATTTCAGCTCTCGGCCACGCCCACTTCTCCACTGCACTGAGATCAGCTGATCAGCTGCAGCATGGAATTTATCCTGCAGAGTGGGCTGCACAAAGGTGCAGGAGGTGCTAAATAATTAAAAATAATTAATTTAAAATAAAATCCATGCCGATCGTGCGGCTCAACCATCGATCAGCTCATTGTGTGTCATGTCCACTCTTATTTTGAAAAACCGCGATAGAGCGAGTCCGCGATAAACGAACTGCGAAGTAGCGAGGGACTACTGTGTACATAATTTCATTCCACCTCATGTACCACATGTGATGGAAATGACAATAAAGAACCTTGAACCTTTAAAGCAGCTAAAGGCTAGCTAAAAGTTAAAGCAGCCAAAGGGGAGCTAAAAGTATCAAAGTGACTAAAACCAGAAGTCACAGCACCCAACTCCTAAATAAGCCGAAGCTTTTGATTAATGAGCAGCTAAATAGCCCAAAGTCTGCAGAAATATTTAATTTGTAAAAAAGACAACTTCCAACAGGAAACTGCTGACTCAGCGTTCGTACGTCGGCAGATCTGGCCTGATTCTCGCCTGATTCTCGGTTTTTGTCGCAGGTCTTCCTGCGGTTCTGGTCGGGATCATCGTCGCTGTGAACAAAAACTTTTACGGCGTTCTGGAGAGCAGCGAAGACGAGTCCACCAGGATGTGAGTCAGACCCAGAACCAGTAGAACCTCAGTGACGTAGACGATAAGTCTCGATTTCTGGACTTTATTTTAATTTGGTTTAGTTTAATTTGAAGGGCGTTTTCAGTCCTCAGCCCTGCTGAAAACAGGAAGTGGAACTCCTTCGGCTTCCCGTGAGTGACCCGTGTGTTTTTCTCAGGTGTTGGATCAAGGACCGGAGCGTCTTCTACTCCACCTGCGTCGGTTACTTCTGCCTGGTGTTCCTGCTCAACGTGGCCATGTTCATCGTGGTTATGATGCAGATCTGCGGCCGCAACGGCAAACGCAGCAACCGCACGCTGCGGGAGGAGGTCCGGGTTCGCCCCAAACTCCAAAACATTTTAGTCTCACGTTGACTTTAGTTTGTCTCTGAGCTGCGGCTGCTGGCGACCAGCTGGAGACGCTTCAACTGAGAACATGCACAAAAGAATGATCACAAACAGCTTGTGTCCTGCACCAGACAGCTGCGTGCTGCCCCGCCCCATCTCCCCTGAAAATGTGGGAATCACCATAGCAACCAGTGACTCAGCAGATTATATGGCAGTAGGTTTTTGTTTTTTAGGAGCTTCTTCTTTGTTGTTATTCCATCATGGCCGCCACAGTAAATCCTGAAGAACATGGACTGTCTGGTTCCTCAGACTAACACACAGCTGCAGCCAGGAGGTTCTCGAGGTCTGGGTCAGGACCTCACTTGGTTATAAAACACCAAGCTGAAGGTCCTGAGGGTGTAAAATTTAACATCATTTCACAAAAGCTGCTATTTACCAGCGTAGTTGAACCTGATTATTATTAAAGAGAAACAAATACAGAAGTGTATTTTAGTTGCCACTTGTGTTTTAAGCTTTTTAGCAACGTCTGTGAAGTTCAGCTGCGGTTCTGTGGCTCCTCAGTTTTCATGTTTTTATCTGTGGGTCAGAAGCTGAACGGTTGGAACCAACTGGTCCAGATTAAATGGTTCCACATGTCTGAGACACAGAAGGTGGCCCTGACACTCACCTGAGGGACTCGAAAACCCTCCAGAACATTTAGAGACCCGGTCAGGAATGCTGTTTGTGGTTTGTTGCCAGCAGTCGCAGCCGGTGAGAGCCCGGCACAGACATGTCCAGATGAAAAACCGATCTAAAGTCGGGGGTTCTGGTCCCCTCATTTGACTCTCGTCATCCTAACCTTTGCTTGGTAGTAGCTGAGAGTCATGTTTGTTTTAAACTTTACGAGACGTCTCTGCTGTGATCCAGGTGCTCAGGAACCTGCGGAGCGTGGTCAGCCTCACCTTCCTGCTCGGCATGACGTGGGGCTTCGCTCTGTTCGCCTGGGGGCCCGTGTACCTCACGTTCACCTACCTGTTCACCATCTTCAACTCCCTGCAAGGTGAGGCAGAAACGACGTCGTTCTTCTCAGGTCGCTGACCTGCAGGAGCGTCACGCGTTGTTCCTGCAGGAACATCTTTGGAGAACGTCACACGTAGTTCCTTGTCGTGTCTTCCTGCTGCAGATCAGCTGTTTGGTTCCTCTTTTCTCTCTGCGCTCTCTCACCTGAAGACTTCTACAGTTACAGGCACCAGATATTAGAGCCCGACCCATATGGAACTTTTGGCTATCATCGATGCCGATATCGGGAGGGGCGGGGCTAATGCTGATAACTGATATAATAGATGAAAACTTTTTATCTTTGTTCACCTCCAAGAATCAAAGTAAACATCTTAAACCTGTTTAACAATTGAACTCTTGAAACAGTCTTCCTAACGTGCGTTCACATTTTCTATCCTCCACTATTCACCATAAAGTTATTAAGTGTGTTAAAAATATAAACAAAGAAACATTCTTCCTGTTCGTTGTTTCAACAGTCAGTCTTTACTAACACGGATACATATTTACAGCTACGTTAGATTTATTGTTCTGGATAAAGTTTTACAAGCAACAGCCTATGCTAGGTGATCTAAACGTTAGCTTGTTACCTTGAGAGGCTAATGACAAGCAGGTTGGAGGATTGAAGATAATTTATTATTGTAGTTTTATTTTACACATCATTTAAAATAAACTCACCGAGCTCCGTTCAGCAGAATATGCTAAACAGCTGCTCGCTGCTTCGACTGCGCTGAAAGTGAAACTTAAGTGAACAGCAATGACTGAAAGTCATCTTCATGTGCCCTCTGCTGGATACATTGTACAATTACGGCTGGTTCCAGCATGTTAGAAATGAAAATTAGAAGTGTTAATATCAGCCGACAATGGGACAGTTATCACCGATACGATATGCCCCCAAACATCTACGTATATCGACCCGACGGATATATCAGTCGGGCTCTACCAAATATAGAAACACTGAAGGTTTTCTTCAGATTCTGTCCTGGTTTCTGTTTTTTTCTCCTCCTACATATTTAGAACAGACTAAAACTAAATAAATCCAAACGTCCAAACGCCGTGGATCACCATGGTAACAGTGACGCAGCAGATTCTGAGTAAATCTTGTAGATTTTGAATTTTTGGTCCTCGTGAGAACTTTAAATTAAAGCAGTTGGAATAAATAAACCTGAAATGTTTTTCAAAATAAGAGCCTGGCTCCATGGTAGATTTGAGTTGAAGAACTTTCTTGAAACGTTTGTTCTTTGAGAACATCAGGAGTGAGTTCTTGTCTTCGTGTCCTCAGGTCTCTTCATATTTGTCTTCCACTGCGCGCTGAAGGAAAACGTCCAGAAGCAGTGGAGGCGGAGCCTCTGCTGCGGCCCCTACAGGCTCTCGGATAACTCAGGTACCGGTCCGTCCATAGATGTGTCCCCCCGGACCTGTAGAGAGACACGTTAACTGTAGAGCCCGTCAGCTGCAGAACCTCTCAGGATGTTCTTCTCCAAACTGCCTCGGTTCTGTTCAAACCAACATGGTTGAACTGTCGGATCGCTCCGAACATTTTCTTTTTTACGATTAAAACTGTTCAAAGTTCCAGACGGGCTCACAGCGACCCGGTCTCTCTGCAGCTCAGAACCAGAACCATCAGAGGTCCAGGTGAGAGCTGCAGGTAAACTGTCATGTTTCTGATCCAGACTGGAGCAAAACGGCCACCAACACCAAGAAGGTGAGCTCAGAACACCTGAACAAGTCCCTGTCCTCCAGCAAGTCCCTGTCCTCCAGCTCCTTCAGCTCCAGCAGCAACTGGACCGCCAAGGCTAAAGCTACGCTAACACCTTTCTCCAAACGCCTCCGGAACACAGGTGAACACTCACACACCTGTACACACACACACCTGAACACACCTGAACACACCCACACCTGTACACA